TTCCTAACCTGTGACTTTGATCTCAGATAGAGAACCAATTATTATAATCTACTGATCAGACTCCAGGTAATTTTAAATTTGAAGTCAACAACCTTCATAAAGCAATGGGACAAATACTTGCCACCTGAAAGAGTCCAATAGAGATCCAAATATACAACCAGCTAAGGGAAATCCTTGATTACCACCTGTTTCACAGGAATCCCTTCTTCCTGAGATCTCCATGTGCCCCTACTGGATTCTCTGGGACCAGAACATTTGGTGCTGCTTGTCTCAGACTAATATCTCATGCACTTTAAGAAGAGTATTCTGAGATGTGTACAGGCCCTAATTCCAGAAATCACCATGGCTGAAAATCCTAACCCAGACATGAACTCCACAGTGAGGCTGCCTTATTATACAGGCACTTTACCTGGAGGGGCTCTTCACTCACTGAGCAGTGTTGTTGAAGGTGGGAGCCACACAGACAGAGTGTTCCTGTTAAGCGCAGCAGAAGCTGTGAATACCTCCACCGGTGGGCCACCGAGCAGCTTGCTTAGTGGTGGACCTTTGCATCTCTCTAGGTTTGTTGGCTGCCCATGGCAGCATCTGTGTGATTTCTAGTACTTCTTGCTGTACTTGGATCAATAAAATAGGCAAAGCAGATACTATACATGGCCTTTTGAGAACGATTTGTCTCCTCAAGCCTGATCCTCATGGCCTATGGGATGTTTTCTCCCACCTGGCTTGGCAAATGGGGTTCCTTGTCGGCCCTGCATGCATGATTACTGCTCTGGTCCTGGCCGTCATGGTCATGACACTGGGCTCTCCCTCTACACAGTCTTAGATGCTTCTGTGTAGCTGCTGTCTCATCAGATCAGAGGTTCACCACGAGGATACAGTAACAGAAGGCAAAATAAATCTCGTGAAAGGATTGACCTTGGAGGAATGGGACAGTCTGCAAGCTGCAAAGATCTCTTGCCTTTCCTGAAATTGTCAACCTTGTGCCAGTGGGGAAGGGGAACCAAGAGGCTACAAGTACAAATGGACACTGTCAGACTGTCCCGACTGCCTCTGACCTCCACTCCCAGCAGTCTGCCCAGAATGACCGGGATGTGGGACATGATCAAGAGACTGCCAGCTTCCCTGTTTTTTTTTTGCCCTCACTTCCACCTTCAGACCAGGCAGAGAGAGTGAAATAAGCTCCCTAAACAGTATGCTCCCCAAACATAAACTGCAGCAATTCTAGTTAGCTGCCTCCAGTTTTCCCGTGAAACAGCCTTCAATCAGAGCAAACCCTTTGTCACCCTAAAGGTTTTTCACTCTGCGCACCTCTGCATCTCTACGAAAGGCAAGTAATGGTGGCTGACTCACTCACTATAGTGAGATCTGAATGAATAAGCCTCTGTTTGTTCTCACTTGGGTGATCTTCATCTATTTCCATATGACAGACTGGATTTATGTAGATTGTGAAATTCTCTGAAAACAAACAGGTGCTGAAAAGTGGAACTGTAGTGACCTTTCTACAGAGTGCAATTCCTTAGATCGTCGCCTGTTTTAAATCCTTAAGTGGCCCCTCATTGCCCTTGGAATAAATTTGCTCTCTGTAACTGGGTGTAATCTATCCCTGGTTAGCTTTCCAGCCTTTTCTCCCTTGCACTGCTAACCAAAGTGACCTTCTTCTTTTTCTGCAATATGCTTTGCTATTTTTTCCCTTCTTTGGAGTAGGCCATTTCTTCTGCCTGGAATACTATTCTATTTCTATCTCCACCTGGACCTCTCAGGTCTCAGCAGACATCTCTTCCTCCAGGCAATTACCTCCAATTCTTTCCTGGGTTAATTGCACTCCTACTGTTACCAAAATACACGAGTATCTCACTGATTATTTGGTGGTGTTGTCTCTAAACTGCAAGCTAGATTGTATTGGCCATATACCATACCAAGCCGAATCCTGTCAACCCTCCTGTAGTTTGCACTACTTAATCTAGATAATCTGAAATAACACATCTGAAAATTTTCTCCTGAAGAAAGTATTTCTAGAATTATTTTCTATCAGTATGTGATCTATTGCTTTGCCAATTGTATAATTACATCAACTGACTACAATTTACAAGTTTCCAGTATCTTTTTTGTCATAATAAATCTAGGAAGGTGGTTGTCCTCAGAGTAGTTTGTGTTTTAACTTTAATAAAATCATAGGATCAAAGGTAGAATTGACTTCAAGAAACAACCTCCATCTAGTACATTCTTTTGTGCTCAGTCCTGACTTCACTTATCATCCATATATGGTTACTATAAATTTACATTTCTATCTCATGCTCTCTTCTTAGATCCAGACCTGTTCTTCCAACAGCCTATTTGATATTCACACCTAGAGGTCTCTACAGCCATGGTCACATGGTCAAGACCAACTCCAGGCTCCTCTTCCCAGTGTCCCTGTCCATTCTCAAAGCCACTGGTCTGGATACTTTAATCAGCTGAGTTCAGTCATGGCCAAGTTGTGTTCACTCCCCTCCCAGATACCCTCAGAGCCACCTGCTTCTCATCATCTCACCCCTGCCCTAGTCTCAGCCCCACCCAGCAGCCTCCTAGCACCAGTCGCCCCACCCACCCTTCCTCACCACCACTTCACCACACCACAGCCAGCTGAACTATCAAACGCAAGTGGGACTCTATCAACACCTGTGGAAACTACTTCATTGGCTTCTCATTGGTTTTAAAAAGACCCAAATGGCTTCCTGATTGATCCCTAGCCTCCTGCATAATATTCTTCCTGTGGTCTGCGCTTCAGCCAATCTGTCTTCTTTGCTCCATTTGACTGCCATGCTTCCCCAGCACAGGGCCTTTGGCAGAGCCGTCCCTGATGCCTTGGGGAATCTCCCCTCACCACCTCTCCTGCTTTCAACTGCTATTCTGCCGGTCCTTCTGATCCCAGGATTCCTCTTCAAGACTGCTCATTTAGGATTGGATTATGGGTCCCAGTCGCTGGGAGAGACCATCTCCTCCAGGAGCATGTACCTCAGTTAATGAACAAATTTTCCTTGTATGGTCATCTCACCAATGACCTTCTTCCCCACTGGAGTATTTAGGATGTACAGTTGGAGAACTGGAGAGGGGAAAGTGCTGTTAGGCTGTTGTGGAGGGGCAGTTTTGAACATTTCGAATATGAGGTGCCTGTGGACACGCAGGTGGAGATGTCTAATTGGCAGCCAGAAAAAAAGAACTGAAATTTAGGTGGACATATTGATTTGGCACTGAAATAATGAGGTTTGAACCTGTGGTTGAGATTAACAAGGCAGAGTCCACAGAGTAATAACATGAAAGGCATGGCATTCCAATACCTAGTATGGTGCCTGGCACCGCAAGTAGTGAAATACGTTGAAAAATGCATGTCAGTGGAGGCCACATTCAGGCATGGGCTGAGAAAGGAAAGCTGATGAAGATGAATGGGACAACCCAAGGCTGGAGGAGGTGGGGGCCTGTTTGGGAGCTGTCTGGGGGAGGGGATCATGGAAAGGAGAGGGGTTACAAATCAAAGATGAGGATTGGGTTCAACAATCCGGAAGGCATTGGTGACCATGGCACTTGTGCAAAGTGGTGAGGGGGGGGCGAGTGAGCAGGAGGGTGGGGGTGCAGGGAGCCAGGGAGGTGCTACTACAGAAATGTGACGAGATGCTTGCCCTGGGTCACTCACTCAGGATCGAGGAGAATGGCAGGCTTTGAATGTATCTTTCAGCATACTTATCAAAGGAAGTTATGTAGGGATATCATACCCATTTACTGCTATGTTATTATCAAATTAACTCATAATTCATAACTAGCAAACTCCTTCAATTATGATTTGTATTCCTGTAGGAAAAAAGCAAACTGTGGTTAAGTAACATCAGCCCAGCATTTAACACAACTTTTAAATTAATTCTGACATTTATTTAGTGCCTGTATTGATTGTAGTCACTGGTCTAATCTGAGTGGAAGTCACCAGTAGGGAGGAGAAGCTGAAATTATCGAAGAGGGATGACTGGAGAAGGTCCATGGCTAAGCAGATTGGCCGACAATGAGGGCACACACCCTCTGAACGCCACACCAAGGTCAGGATAGTCGTTGAGGGGACAAGTATGCACGTCAGGCTCGGAGGTCGAGGGAGGATGAGTCTGAAGGTCTTGGTGGTCTGGAGGTAGGAGGAGACGTGGTCTTCTGCCGAAAAGAAAGTGGAAGACGGGCAGGAGTTTCCCCGGGAGCTCCAATGAACTGGGAAAGGTCTGGAATAGACATTTAAGAGCCAGAACAGGCCAGGTACCTGATAAACAAAACTAGGTGTCTGCATGCAAACCTTGCCGCTCACTAAACTGCACGCTGCCTGAGGGCAGTGTTGGCCTCTCCTTGTGTCCTCTTGATTCATGCATGAAGACCCAGAGCCATTTTGAAAGCTCCTACTCTTTATGTTTTCACTCATTTTGAGAAATATAATAGCGTCGCTTCACAATTTTAACAAAATCTGTGCAAAAGTGAACTTTTAGGCCATTTAAGAGTTTTTATAAAGGTATGGAGTTAACCTTTTCCCTATGCAACATGTAATAGCTCTAACTTAAAAATCAGAATTCTCAAGGTGTGAAGTTAATTTTCTTAGAAAAGAATTATGAAGTCAGGAGACCCTGTCTAATCAGTTCACCAAGAGGTGTCAATCAAGGGCACTCTTTTGAAAATTCTTGATAGCCCAAGTTCTGTTTTCCAATGGCAGTGCAAGATTCTCCTCCCAGATGGTTTCCTATTGGCTCTGAGATGTGGGCGGGGCCACCTATTCCTGGGGCTGCCAGTAGCTCCACCCCATTCCATGCAAATGAAATCAAAGCTCTGGTGAACCCACGTGATCAGTCAGGTGGTCCATGACACCGTCGCCCCACCCTAGTGACATCACTACCCACTCAAAACTCTCACGAGAGTTTGCACAGATGCTGGTGAGAGGCTGGCTGGCCAGTCCACTGTAGCAGCAGTGGAGGTCAGCGGAGGGGGCTCATAGGGTCCCCCTACTCCTTCCCTAGAGCCTCCAGCCCAGCCTTGGACAAGGGCCCCAAGGGGCCTGTAGGACACTGCCCAGGGGTCCCATGCACACTCTCCCCCCATTGGCTGGCTGCACCAGCATGCAAATGAGGGCGCGCGTCACTTCCGGAGGCAAATCGAGCGCCATTTTCTCTTTCTGGCTGCGCTGGGAGGAGGGGACGGGGTCGCGGGGTGGGCGCGCGCTGAGGCGGGGGTCCCGCCGCGCGGGCGGAAGCGGGCGCGAGTGCGGCCCGGTGGGCGCGGCGACAGACGGCGGGGAAAGCGCGGCGCTCTGGGCGCGCAGCGGTAGGTAAGACCCTGGCCCGGCCCCACGGCGACGCCCCCGGCCCGGCCAGCCGGCCTGGCCGCCAAGTCCCGGCGGCCCCGCCCCACCCCGCCCACCCGCGGAGCTCTCCCGGCGCGGGTTCGCGGCCCGAGCGGCGCCCGTCGTCCTTGCGCGTCACGTCGGGGCCGGTGGGCGCCGCAGCCGCCGCGGGAGAGAGCGGGGACCGGCGAGGTGCTGGCACCCGGGAGGGTGCCGCGGGAGGGGGGGAGGCGGCGAGGGGCCGGCACCGGGGAGGGCGCGCGCGGCGGGGCCGGTTTGGGGGCGCACCTCCCTCCCGCCCCCCGTCCTGGCGTCCACGCTCCTCCCCCAGCGCGGGCGGCGAGGACGCCGCGCGCGCTGTTCCCCGAAGGCGAGGGCCGAGGCCGGGCGTGCGTGCGTGCGTGCGCGGGGTCTCCGTCCGAGCTTCCGTGGCGCCGCTGTGCAGATGTGCACGTTGGAGCCTTAGTTTCGCGTGCGGCTGCCGGCTGCGTGGGCACAGGTTCTGTGGCACTGTCCCTCCGCACCTTGGCTTTGGGACGTCAGAAGCTGTTGGCTGCCAGCGCAGTGTACGGCTGCAGAATGATGAATAATTAAGTGTTCTATGCATCTTCTTTGAATCTGAGTTGGAGACTGAATGCTGTTGAAGCTGGTTTATTTGAGTGGGAGGGGGTGGGAGACCGGGATCATTTGCCCCGGCCGGAGGCGAGCACGGCTCCTTCCGAGTAGTGCGGTTTGGGGGAGCGTTTGTGGGAGAGGCATCTTTGGCTGCAGGTCAGGTTATTTATATGGGACTTATTTAGAGCTGTTATTGGTAAGCTGGCCATATTAGGAACGAACGTAGGTATTTCTGCAGGATTGGAACTTGGTCTTTAAGCATGGAAGTGACAGATCGGTACGTGCAAAGCGATCTGTGCGAGTCTGGAGGATGGGCCAGAGCGGGGAGGAGACAGTTCAGTTGTCTGATGGAGAGGTGGCCTAGGTTAGGGTGAAGAATTGGTGGCCTCTTAGGGGAGATGAAGGCGGAGTTGAGGCAAGAATTTCAGCTGAAGAGATCCTGGGACATGCATTAACTCCCATCTCCGTTTGCACTGTAATATTGCTGGGTGTGTGGTTGAGTCTCCGCGCGCGCCTGGCGCGATGGCCTCCACTCTGGCAGCCAAGCACCTGGTAGGGCAGTGAGTTCCATGGGAAGAATCTGAAAGGCCTGACTCGCTGAAGGGAAAGGATCTGTGTTTGAACCCAGGCCTTCTGAATCTTGTTTTCGTGCATGGCACAGACATTACGTTTTTTATGTTTTTTTTTTCTTTTTAATGAAGGAAAAACAGCCCTGTTCCCAATAACTGGGACACCTCATGTAGAGCTGTGGCGTTAAAGCAAGCCCACTGCTTGTGTTCTGGGTGCTTTTCTGGTATTATAACTCCGTTCTCACAACTGTTCCCTGGAAAGGTTGCACCCTACCTGTTCTCAGGTGGGCATTTGAGGCCCCGAGATAAAGAATTTGCAAAGATTACACAGCAGATTAGTTGTGGAGCTGCTTTGAACCCAGGCAGTACAGCTCTGAATCCTTGCGGGTGAGCCCATTGTGCAGTGTTGCCTCTCAAGTGAAATCCTTTCAGAACTTAGATTTCACAGGAAATCAAAACAAAGTTCTGTGGCTTAAAAAGTATTATTACCTGAATGCCTTTATTTTTTGGAGCATATTTTTTCCATAATGGAATATTCTTAAATGATCATGATACTAAAAAACAAAAGAAACCCTTTAAGTGCCCCTTGAGGAAATGACATTTTCTTGAGCATGTCAGTGGAATTTTTGGTAGTTCCATGTCTACCACACACTATGAAACGAAAAGTAATGTACTGTGAACTGAGGTTGACAGGTTAGTGCAGCTGCGTTAGCCTGCTGTCTCTTGATGGTGAAAGTGCGCGGAGAATAGATGGAGAACAGCATCTATAGAGAATACATAAGTATGAAAGCGTTACTTCTTTCTTAATTAATCTGCTGGGCATTTTGAATGGAATCTTTGATCGTGGAATCAATAAATTATGGTATCCTAGAATGAAAACATTACAGTAAAAGTGAGCTGCTTTCCCCCAAAGCTACTGTCAGCAGACCAGGCATCTTGAAAGATTTGTTTTAAGGTTATAAAGCTTCTGTAATTTGCCTGTTTTACTTTTTGTCATACTTACTTGGGTCTCTAAAAGAACAAATTGATAAAAAGGAAATTTTTTTTTTAAGTACGGGATTTGTATGCTTATTTTTGGGAGAACCACCATGGCAATGATGGGGGAATGGAAACGCTTATATTTGAGGATAAAATGTTCCTATTCTCCAAATTCAAGAACGAAGAATGACAGTTCCTTGGTCATACTCCAAACATTGAACAAGAAACTACAGAGCCTGTTTAAAACTTGCCCAATCACCGACAGCCTCATTTCTGTGTCCTCCTCCTCAGTCAGCCAGTCAGCAGCAGCCTGCAGAGATCCAACCTGTGAAAAATCAGCAGGTCCTAAACTTTCTTCCCGAAGTGTACCAGCCATGCTTCTCCAAACTCTGTGAAAAGATCAGCTCTTGCTAAGTAAGGCCAGACTTCTTTGCAAGCAATACATTTGGGTTCCTTGTTTCAGCTACATGTGGATGATGGTCTTAACCTTGGATAATTAATAGCCAGCTTTGGGGAAAGAGGAGCCCCAAAGGGTAGAGAGGATGGTGGGACTTCAAGGAGGAAGTGAAAGCAAGTCTGATAGAGTGCGTGGAAAGCAGCTCTCAGAAGTGTTTGTTGAGGCTTGCTCTAGCCAGAGAAGCCAGCCTAGGCTTGAAAGTGACCCTGTGCTTAGTTTTTCGGAATGCCGTTATGCGGTTCCTGCCAGCAACTCTGTTAGAGTATGCTTTTGAAGGCTAGAACCCAAACAGTACATTTCATTTTTAATGGTTTTGTTAGTTTTTACTTTAATTCCTATGATTTTTAGATCCCCCAGTGCTAAAATGTAAATATCCTTCAGTTTCCTTATACTGAGCCTAAGATACACTTTTCACGTACCTTGTCTGAAAACTTCCCCATTGTACATCAGCTTCTTCAAAACTTAATGATTCCTTAGTTCTTCCCTCTTAATGTGTTAACCCTTCCTTTGTACTCTCACCCCATTTGATTCCACTCTGCCTTTTTTGGTTTTACTTACATCTTGCCAAATACATTCAGACTTTTCCTCCTTTTCCTCAGTCATTTTTGAGGCTGATTATTCACCTGGACTGTCTCAGGCTCCATAGCACTTTCTACATGTCTTGCGATTCTTACTGTTTTATATTTTTTGTTCATTTATTGTGAACATTTGCTACATATTATGCCCTGATAGGCCCATGCAAATAAAACATGATTCCTACCCTGAAGAACTTCAGTGTAGTGGGGGAGGTAGGGTCATAAATGGGTAGTTGCACCATGGTGAGATCAGTGCAATGAATGCAGAAGCTGGCTATCCTTGGAATGCCTAGGAGGGCCTGCATGCTTGTCCTGCAGGACAGGGGCTGCAAGGCGACTGTGCAAGGGGATTGCTGACTCAGAAATTGTCCTGTGGAGTCTTGGGAGATACTGCCAGATTGTCCCTAAGCATATAGATACTATGATTTTCCTACTCACCCTCCTACAGTGGGTGTTAGCAAGTTTTTAAAAGAATGTTTTGGTAATAAACATTGGCATTCATATTTTACCTGGCATTTCTTTAACTTGAACTTGACTCATTTTGTTTTCAGCTTTTATACATTAAAATGCTGTTTGAAAAAGGTACAGATTATAGAGTTGTGAGTACAATACAAAGAACTTTTTCCCCTGAATCATTTGAAAATAAGTTGCCAAACATGATAGTATATTACCTCAAATATTGTCTATTTCCTACAGATAAGAACATTCTCTTAAATCCCCAGAACACTACTGTCAGAATCAGGAAAGTAATACAGTATTACCATCTAATCCTCAGACCCCACTGAAGTCTTTCAATTTGCTCCAGTATCATCATTCATAGTAAAAGAATCTAGTTAGGGTTGCACATTGTGTTTAGTCTCTCTTAATTATTAACAGTACCTCGGTTTTTTTCCCATGAAGTTTTTAGAAAAAGTATAATTCATTAATTTTAGTAAATTAATGAGTCATAGAGCCATCACCACAATCTTTTAGAATGTTTCCAGTGCTCCTAGAAAACCTACTTGGCGGTCACTACCCATCCTCACCCCCATGCTGCTGCTAATCTACCTTCTATCTCTAGATTGTTTTTTTCCTGAACATTTCCTATCAGTGGAGTCAGACAATCTGAAGACTTCTCCATCTGGCTTCTTTCACTTAGCATAATGTTTTTGAGATCCATTCATGTTGTGGCATGCGTCAGGACCTAGTTTTTATTGCCAAGTATTATTCTGCTGTGTGGACACGCCACGTTTTGTGTGTCCATTCCCATTTGTGGAAGTTTACATTGTTGTGTCTGAATGTTATACCTGGACACTTGAATATTATAGGCTGTTTTTGGACAGTGCCTCCTAATTTGGGATTGTCTGCCAGACTTGTGTGAATTACTCTTTTTCCCTTGGTTATTAAGTATTTTATGGGGAGAGGCTTGGAAACCACGTAAATATCCCATTCTTCCTCAAACTTTCAATTTATTATATCACCATGGATTCAAGGTTATATTCTAGTGGATTATATTTTAGTTGCTGTTGCTCTTGGCTGTATACCAAACTACCCCAAACCTTTGTGGAATAAAATATTTTATTTCAAAAGCTCAGTAATTCTTTGGGTCAGGAGTTCAGGTGGAAGCAGGGGAGACGGCTTGTGTCTGTTCCACAATGTTTGGGGATTCTGGGAAGACTCCGAGGCTAGGGATGGCTTGACTGAGGGGCTCCAGAGGCATCTTAGATCCAGAGGTCGAGGTGGAATGCTCCCATGTGGGCCAGTTGGACTTCCTCACAACATGGTCTGGATTCAAGAGTGGTGGTCGCCAGAGAGCAGGCAGAAGTGTGTGGCATTTTTATGGCCTAGCCTGGGAAGTCACATAGCATTACTTCTGCTGTAGTTTTTTTGATGAAGACAGCCATAAATTCTGCCCAGATTTAAGGGGTGTGGGCATAGATGCCCATACTTCTTGCGAGGGGGGGAGTGTCAATGTTATATTTTAAGATCATGTGAGATGAGAGATACTGTTAAACTGTCTGGAAAATTCAGTGCCACTTTTTACTGTCATGTAATGGATGCCCCAGTTGCCCTGTGTTTGGCTTGGAACTTATTCAAGCTGGTCTCTTTTGAGTCCTTTTGACTCGTCTTACCATTTCTTGAGCAATTTCCTTATTTTCTGACACAAGACATTGTAGGCTTATCCTGTCTTTTCCATTCTCCTGTCCTTGAATCAGCCATTTTTCTAAGGAGCCCTGGTTCTTACTAATGGAAAGAAGTGTTTAGAAAGTAACATTTGGGCCTTAGGAGTGCTCGCAGCTGCTGGGTTGTGTAGCTGCTTCCAGGCTTTCAGTGGACAGAGCTGTGGAATACACACACACTCTTAAAAAACTATTTTTTATTGTGTATAAAAACAGTAAGGTCACACCCATACGTCTTATTCTGATCAAATACCATAGAGTTTATTTTAATTTTGTATTTTTTAAGATATTTTAAAAACAGCTTTATTGAGATGTATTTTACATACAATACAGTTCACTTTATACAATTCGGTGACTTTTAGTATTTTCACACACTCATGTATATTGTCACGACAGTTGATTTTAACACATTGTCATTCAAAAGAAACCTCCCCTTAGCCATCACCTTCCAGTCCTCAGCGCCAGGTGACCATTCTGCTTTCTGCCTATAAACTGGCTATTCTGAACACTTCATGTAAACAGTCATACAGAATGTAGTCCTTCTTGTTTGGCTTCTTTCTGTCAGCATAATGTTCCCAAAAGGTTATCCACATTGGCACATATGGCCATACATTTCTTTCTTATGTCCAATTAATACTCCAGTGTATGGATGTGCCAGATTCTATTTATCCATTCATCAGCTGATGGACATTGGAGTTGTTTCCACTTTTTGGCTTTATGAGGAATGCTGCGAACGTCCACGTGAAAGTTTTCATTTGGTTTATGTTTGGAATCGCTGGTTCATATGGTATGCAAATGTTTCATCTTTTGAGGACCTGCCAGACTATTCTCCATCTGGCAGTGTGTGAGAGATACCCAGTCTCTCCACATCCTTGCCAACACGTGTTCTTTTCTTTTTTAAAAATTATAGCCATCATGGTGTAAAGTAGGATCTCATTGTCATTTTGATTTGCATTTCCCTGTGGCAGGTGTTTAGCATCTTTTCATTTGCTTAACGGCCATCTGTATATTGTCCTTGGAGGAGTACCTGTTCAGATCCGTGCCTTTTTTAAGTTGGGGTGTCTTAAGAATTCTTTATATATTCTGTATATAAATTCCTTATCAGAAATATGACTTGTAAATATTTTCTCCCATTTTGTGGATTCTCCTTTTGTATTTTCTTGACGGTTTCCTTCCAAGTTTTAATTTGATGAAGTCCAGTTTGTGTATGTTTTTCTTTTGTTGCTGGTGCTTTCTGATATATCTAAGAATCCATTGCCAGATCCAAGGTCCTGAAGATATGCTTATGTTTTCTTCTAACAGTTTTAGAGTTTTTGCCCTTACGTGGTGATGTATAGTCCATTTTGAGTTAACTTTTGTTTGTGGTGAAGGAGAGTTCAATCTCATTTTTTTTGTATGTGGATATCTGGTTGTCCCAGCATAATTTTTTGAAAATTATTCCTCTTGTTTTAGCTGTTAAAATAATGCATGTGCTTATTACAGTTTTGTTTACTTCCCTTTTAAGGAAAATTTCAAAGATGTTTCAAATTCCTGTGGAAAATCTTGACAACATCAGGAAGGTGCGGAAAAAGGTGAAAAGCATTCTTGTGGATATTGGGCTTGACTGCTGCAAGGAGTTGCTGAAGGTAAGAGGATGTAGCAGATCGAGAGAAGACAGTAATACCAGAGAGGCTGGGATTGGCCTCTGGAGGTGAGATTTGAACTGGGGATTTTTGAAGAGTGGGTAAGATTCCTCAAGAGGAAATTGCTAACACAGCTGACCCTTGTCCAGTGTGAGGGTTAGGGGCGCCGATTCTTTGTGCAGTAGGAAATCCAAGTGTAACTTTTGACCCCCACTCACCAGACACTTAACTACTAATACCCTACTGTTGACCAGGAGTCTTATTGATAACATGAAGTTGATTAACACATATTTTGTATGTTATATATATTATATACTGTATTTTTACAATAAAGTAGAGAAAATGGTTTTTCAAACTGTTGCAAATATCCTCCAATTTTTCCAATCTATTTATTGAAAAAAATCCATGTATGTAAGTGGACCTGCATGTTCAGACTAGTATTAAAGATGTACTGTCATTCAAAGGCCTGCATCATTAGTTACGATTTATGTCTTTCTGACTTAAACTACTTTAAGCTGTTTAAGTTTTTAAAGTTACTTTTAGGAGGGGGTTTTTATAGCCATTAGTTATAAAATACATTTGGTTTTGATATTTGAGGGGAATGTGTTGAATTATTTATTATCATAGCAAAAGACGACCATAACTTAATTTTCCAGTATTGCTTGAGTGACCAAAAAATGGGGTTGCATACCTGGTATGATAAACTTTTCTTCTGATTTTTTAATTTAATAAATTCGATCTTACAAAAGTTTAAAAATGAAGGTTGCAGTCACTTTATTGATAAATTGTGTTCTCATATCATTTTATCCATGTAACTTGAGAATATATGATTGGCATATGTAGTAAAGAAGTAAAAGTTGGTAAATAAGGCTTGCTGTGTATCCTCATGCCAATGATAACAATATTTTATTCATTACTATCAAAATAGGGTCTGTGCTTTGGATTTTTTAAAACCTGTGAAGAATTTGACTTAAAGTATTTCTAATTTGGGAGGGTTTCTGAATTTTCAAGTTTTAAACTTTAAATCAATTTGATTTTACTTATAAAAAAGGCAGTCCGAAGTAAAGGACTACTAATTACCAGGTTTCACGTTAATGGTCAGAATTGATTTTTCCTCACAAGTACACAAATTGTAATTTCTGAAGACCCCAGATACTTCTCTGTTCAGGCATTACGACCCTAGAGAGAGCTTCCTTGTCAAATGCTGCCCTCTCCCACTATATTCTCTGCTCCTTTCCTTGCTCTGTTTTTCTCCAAGGTCCTCATGGTACCTGATGTTAATTATTTATTATCTGTCTCCCCAGTTTGAATGTAAGAAGACAAGGACCTCATTGTTCTTGACCCTCATTGTTACCTGTGATCAGAATTATGTCTGGCATGTAGACAGTTAACAAAAAAATACATTTTTTTGGTATCATTAATCTACAGTTACATGAGGAACATTATGTTTACTAGGCTCCCCACATCACCAAGTTCCCCCCACAAACCCCATTACAGTCACTGTCCATCAGCGTAGTAAGATGCTGTAGAATCACTACTTGTCTTCTCTGTGTTGCACAGCCCTCCATGTGCCCCCCCTACCACATTATACATGCTAAACATAATGCCCCTTTCTTTTTCCCCCTCTTTATCCCTCCCTTCCCACCCATCCTCCCCAGTCCCTTTTCCTTTGGT